CCAGGCTCCTTGTCCAGGATTTCTTTAAAGTTCACAAACATGGCTCATGCCAATAAACTAATTGAAATAGCAGGTAGAGAAAGACAAATAGGAGTTTTTCCAGTTTCAAAAAGCATCATGAGTAGGATGGAGGGCAAGTCACATAAGCCACAGGACTTTCAGCCAGGAGACTAACATTCATGCCATATCAAATAATTGCTTTTTCCTTCTAGTTTAGTTACATTTTGTGACATGTCTTGTTTTCACTTAGTAGTTATTTTCATTTTCACTTGTTATTTACACACTGTGCTTCGTTAAGTTAATGCACCAAAACTCACTTACGTTTGGAAAAGATTGTGATTTTAGTTTAAAAGACACCCTTGCCATATGTTGTAAGGCAAGCTTGTCATTGCCTAAAAACAGGAGCGACCAGCAAATATTATTTGGCTGCAGAATAATGGCATCTGTTCTTGACATTAACAGACTTTTATGGGTCTATTAAAGTCCTGCATGTTGAAAAATGAAACTTAAAGGCACTCAGTACGTTCAATGTGATGCCAAGGGTTCCTGAGAAAGTGGCTGTATGTGACAAATTGGAAGCGTGAACGGGCTTAAATATCACAAATGTACTATAAAATATATTGTACTCATGCTTCATTGGGGAAGGTTCCTAATGGTCTTGTTAACCTTCTACCGTTCCAAACCCTAGGCCAAAACTCTCCACTTGTACATAAGGATATAATCTTTTTTTTTCATAGACTCTTTTAGAGTCTGTTTCTTAAGGCCCTTTCCCGGGTTCGGTTTTTAACTTTGCATGTCATCAGATTTGCTGAGTATATCCATGTTTCCGTGGGGATACCAGATGGCTCCTCTGGTAGTACGTCTTTTTATTTCATGTCGTATTTTTTTTTTCAAAATCTTAAAGTCTAAAATTTCTAATCTGGAATAATAATATCAGATCATAATTAGATAAAATTCTCTATTTATGAAAAAGACACAAAACACTGATTCAAGGCTTCATTCTGTACATTTCTGCAGCACCTTTTCTTACCATTATCTAAACAAGTCTTTTTTGCTGTCTCTAAGGGCCCCCCTCCCGAAAACCCTCATCTTCTCTGGTTGGTCAGCTGGCCCGACGAAAGTATGACAGCGTTGGTTGTGTATCATAACTCCAGATCTGAGTGTATGATTAGGACGTATTACTACCAGAAGTAGCTCTAGTGGGAAAATAATGGCAGACTATGAAGAAGGTGCTCATTTTTTGTTTGGGTCTGTGCCATACTAGTTACTAAGCAGACATTATGTCACATGCTGTTATACTAATGGAACAAAGACCTTAGTCTACAACTGAGGTGTTTCAGTCAGGGAAGGAGCAGTGTTTTCTGTAGGCGAGGATCATTTCTTTTTGACATGGAAATAGCTATTTAAACTTGTAGACCTTTTACATGCACACAAAGAAACAGCTAAATAGCACACTAAATAAAAGGGGAAAAAAAACAAAGGAATACATGTTTTGAACACAATGATAGGGTGAATTAGTTTGGCTTTCTTTCTCTTTTGTATTTATCTGCTGGCTTTATTTAGTGAAAGAAAACAGGGAAAAAAGCAAAAGAAAGAAAAAAAAAAAGGCCAAAATCGGCCTAATAAATATAAAAATGGACACAACGCGCACTGTAGTATCTACAGCCATGTGAGTATACAAATAGTTTCTGACCAATTTCCTTTTAATTGCAAGTCTACTGCTATCAGTGATATTGTGTCCACATACTTTATTCCAATGCCCGCATACTTTCTTTATTCCAGTTTTTCCCAAAGTGAATCATTCTCTAATCTGAAACACAACAGCAGCAGCCATGGTATAATTAAAGACTGTGTTGTTTGGTTGAGGACAAATGGTGGTATGAAGTCTATAATGTGAACAGCAGAAAGATGCAGTTCTTCCTGAGACTGTCTTTTATTGTATAGTAGTGTGTTGTCCCTTATGGCCTAATCAAACTTTGCAGCAGCAGCAGTTGTAATAGCAGCAGTAGCGTTCCAGGTAGTTGTATGGATGTTATGGCTCGCTGGGAAAGCTATAACACATGCTGCTGCCATCTCACTTTTGCTATTATAAAGTTGAGCCGTTAGAGGAGTCCCATTATGGTTATTGATTTGCTTGTTTGCTCCCCGCTTGGCGGAAAAACAGCTCAAAGAGAGATATTATTTCCTACCCCTTTTATAACCCATTCCCAAAAAAATGACATTGTTGAGAACAGCAAATAGGGGGTCAAGGGAAGAGGCTATGAGAATCTACTGAATAGAAACATCCAGCTTCACTGACTTTGAGTTGGCAAAGAGACGTACTTACCAATAGGAATACATAACGCGTACAATCTTGCAAGGGCCTGCTCAAGAACTGCATTCAGATCTGATTTCTGTTTGCCCTCAGTGTCCACCATCAATGCTATCTGCCCTCACTATCAAGTCACCTGTGTATATGGTGACACTGACAAGGTAAAGCTGTTTGGAGGTCGAGGCAGAATCTAATTTCCGATCACCAAGACAGAAAATCAAGCCATTATTAACCCCATAGTGAACCAGCTATGTCCACTTTACAAACTTCATTAACAGAGGTGGTGGGATCAGCGACAATCAATTCCTCCCTTAAGGTGCCTACAAGACCTGCAGCCCCACCCTTCGACCCTCTCCACATACACATGCCTACACACACATTAAACATCCATACTGCTTTTAGTTTTCAGGCTTCTCTTTGAGAATTTTGGGTTCTGGCACAATAAAATAGGTTTGTCCTTTGACATTTCCACCAAAGTTCTCTTTAAACAAGATGCCAACATGTTTAACAGTAAGAAAAAAACAAAAACAAAAAACATTTTACTTTCAGCCAGTGTGTTACATTATACACACAATGCATTCCTTGGCAACTTACACTGCTTGAACTGCAAGACGGTTGAGCAAAATGTCTGGTATTCCAGATAGCCAACCAAACAGCCAGATAGTTAAGAAGTTAGTAGTTAATCAGGAGTAGCAAACCCTTTAAAACTGTAAGTTAAACAACCGTTGATCTGGCATAATTTAGTCCCTTTGCAATATTAGCCAGGGGTGACCAACTCCACAGATTTGTCTGTTGGCTTTTATGATCATCCTGGGAAGAATTTCCATTTCAGGTACCAGCCTCCTTACTAACTAGCCTGTTCCATTTGGAAACCATATTAATTTTGAGATGCTCCACTCACTTAGGCCAGGCTTTCGTCTGCAGAAATTTATACTTAAATAAATGTCACTTAAGACCACATTTGTTGTGAAGACTACCAGTGTAAAAGTGACAAAAAGAATGTGGTTGACAATGTAAAAATATTTAAAGTACTACATGATTTTAGGTATTCAAATTATATAATTATGCACAAGGCTCCCCTTCAAGCAGTTGGGCATTTAACTTTCTAACAATGCATCATATTTTATAAGACCATTATATGTTTTCAAGGCTGTAACTACAATTGCATTAATCATGGTAGCAAAGGCACAGGTGTAACTCATATAAATGATAGCTTTGTTCAGTTGAAGTATCCCATTAGGCAATGACTGATACAAAGACTCAGCAAGAACAATACCACTATACTGAAGTGGCTACATGGAATTCAGGATTTATTTTTTTTTATTGTGCTAAATACATGTGCTCTTCCTGCTGTGAAATGTCAAAATGTCTAAAGTTAAAAAATGGCTTATAGTACACTCAAAGAAAGTAAACACCTTGAGCCTTGAGCTACACAACTGCTTATGTGATTGGGCTACAATCTCTCTGCCCTTGATCAGACGTACTTAGTTACTTCCCACAGCTGTCAGCATACTGTATGTCTGTCTGACTGACTCAAGACTTTTATTTTCACTGGTTGCTTCATCCCTGGATATTTGAACAGAAATGACTCTTAGAGACAATAAAAGAGTTTGTATTCTGAAATATTTGACATTGTTATCTGTGGATTTCCCAAATAATATGGCTGATTGCTTGTTTGTAATCTAGCACATGCATTTACCATATGACACCATACAGCAGGTCTTGGGTGGCCTGAATGTTAAATACAGTGAACTAGCACTCCAGTGCTGGGATCCAGGCCAAACTGGTCCCAGTGTGTCTGTTGGATGGAGCTCTGAGAGACCTGGCAGCCTGTTTTCAGGCTGGCACACGCCCTGACCTCTGGCATATGGTACATGTACCAAGCCTGCTGGCTTATTTGACACCCGCTGACCTGAACTGCAACAATAGCAAGGTTTGTATAAGGTTTCCTTCCTGAGTAACAAGAAAATAATGTATTCTGCTGTCTCATAATTTCTGACTTTACAATCTACAAATACCAACAATACTTAAGTGTTCAGAGGCAAAAGCTGCAATCTGCTAATCCACATTCGTGTAGGTTATAGTTGAAATCATTTGTATTTAATGTAATTGTCAGCTTTAGAAAAACTGAAATTAATTAAAAGACAAAAGTACACTGAAAGAAGATCATGTTTACCGAGTTTATAATAACGAATGTGTATTTTAATATCTATACATATCTCAACATCTAGTGAATGTATTGGGTCAGTATTTTGTACTAAAATTCAGCGTCAGGATAAAGCCTATTGATTTTAGTGCTAGTTTTCCTTTTGTTCCACCATGAAACTGACTTTTGAAGTTTAACTTCAACTGTCTTGATAATTTGGTGAGTGTCTGACTTGTTCTGAACCCTAACCCTTGTAATGTCATGGCATCATTAGGTCAATAATACAATTCTGTGCAATACTTTTTCTGTAACCAAATACCTAAAAAATAAATAATTCCATTAACCTCAGTTAATGCTCACACACTATCATTTTATCAATCAATCAATCAACCAATCAACCAATCAATCAATCAATCAAGCAAGCAAGCAATCAAGCAATCAAAAACTAAGAGAAGAAACAATCGGTATAAATCACAAAAACATGCATGAATATAATATATATATATATATCAGCAAAGGCAGATGAAGTGTTGGTGGTCTTACCAGTGCTGTCATCATAAACCACAGTGACCGTCTTCCACTTGAAGAAGTGGACCAGGTCCAGGATAGCCCGGCTCAGGGAGGAGAAGTCTGGATAGAGGCTTACGTAGAAGACATCTCTGTTGTCAGATACCTGGTGCTTCCACTTGGTCTGGATGTGCGGGACCCCCAAGGCATTGCAAATGGACTGGACTGCATTGGCTGAGGAACTGTGTGAGGGACCGAATATAGCTGCCACCCCAAGAGAAAGCTGGTCACAAGCTAGAGAGGGGAAAAATTTAAGTAGTTAGCATACGTCTCCCACAATACTGCCAATCATAAATTAATGGTTCTATACAGCTAAACTATATTCTCATTTCTTAGATTTCAGTTATATTTTATTCCGGAAGGGTAACTGAATGACATAGTAGACCCACAGAAGACCAAAAAATTTGTATGAGGATATTGCTTTTGGTGTTGATGGTGGCATAGATTTTTCACTGAACTATTTTTAGTTTAAGTTTTATTTTCAGGGCCGCCACTATAGCTCAACTAGTTGAGCTAGCGGCCCATGTACAGGGGCTATAGTCCGCAACGCAGTGGCCATGGGTTGGAAGCCCGCTTGTGGCTCTTTATTGCAAGTCCTTCCCCCATTCTTCTCCCCCACTTTCCTGTCTCTCTCTCAACTGTCTGATACAATAAAGGCCAAAAAAATAAATTAATTAATAAGTTTTATTTTCAGTGACTGTTTGGTTAGGTTTAGGTACCAAAAACACTTGAATAAATTGAGGTATATACCAAGCCTCTCAGAGGTTACGTCAATAGAAAATTATTTTAAACCAACAACATGTTTGTTAGACCTCATCCCAACTAGACCGTTCAAGGAAATAGTTCCTTTAATTATTACTGCAGTAATAAATATCCTCAACTTCTGTATATTAACAGGCTATGTACCATAGGCTTTTAAAGTAGCTATAATAAAACCACTGCTCAAAAAGCCTACTTCCATATCCAACCTCCCTTTTATTTCTAAAATTCTTGAAAAAGCTGTTGCAAGACAATTATGTGATTTTCTACAAAGAAATTAACACTAACACATTAGCACTAAATTGGTTTACATCATAGTTATCAGACAGATTCCAGTTTGTTCATGTTAATCATGGTTCTTCCGCCCGCAGCAGAGTTAGTTATGGAGTTCCACAGGGTTCTGTGTTAGGACCAATATTATTTATTTTGTACATGCTCCCATTAGGCAATATTATTAGGAAGCACTGCATAAATTTCCATTGTTATGCAGATGACACCCAGCTATATTTATCTATGAAGCCAAATGATACCAATTAGTTTGTCAAACTCTAGGAATGTCTGAAGGACATAAAGGCCTGAATGACCTGTAATGTCCTTCAGTTAAATCCAGAAAAAAACTGAGGTTATTGTATTTGGCTCTAAACACCTCAGCAACACAGTATCGAACCAGATAACTACTCTAGATGGCATTGCCTTGGCCTCCAGTTCTATTGTAAAGAACATTGGAGTTATTTTTGACCAGGACGTTATTCAATACACATATAAAACAAGTTTGTAGGACGGCCTTCTTTCATCTACATAATAACATAAGATATGCCTCGATTTATCTCACAGTGGAGAAATTCAGTGTTGTCAGCAGCAGTACACAGAGATACACACATACTAGTAAGAAAAAATTACAGAAGAAATCGTGCAAACATAAGTATAAAAATACACATATAAAAAGAATAATGCAAGCATAGAATACAAAAATGAGGATATATAGAAAAGATATACAGTCGTGACTCGATAATCTGACGCTAAATGTAAAACTCTCTTTTATGTCGGATAGCAAGGCTGTCAGATTGTCAAGACGGAGGTCGAGATAGAATACCACCACAACCATGGCGATTAGGTTGTAAATGTGCTGGCTCCGGTTGGACAACTACTTTGTAGGATATGAATAGACACAGCTGCCCAAAAGACAGAACTTTCCAGCTCACATTCACATGCTGTGGGACACAGGACTTTCCTGCAGGTCATAAGTGTGTGTAGATCAGCTTTGCAGACTTGGCTGGAGCCAGGGTCTGACAACTTCGTTGCAGAGCCTAGAAAGTTGTATATCAACGGATCACACCACCAGAGCTTCAAAGGGACACTCAAGGAGAGCCTGACTAACCAAATGGCTATGTGGAGAACAGACATCTGGGTGATCTTTATGGCTCTCCCCTCCTCCCTAAGGAATGCAGCGTGAACAATGGGGAGAAAACACCAGTGGACTTTAATGTGCTTTAATATCATATGTTAGTTTAAGTGTTGTTAAATGCTAAAGTTAGGGCTGGTCCAAATAGCAATTTCTGATCTCCGGACATTCGGTCCCAATTAATGACGAATATCCCGAATATTCGGGGGTGCCGTGTGGTGAGGCTCCGACGGGCTGGAGGGGACGTGACACACAGTCCGCATTCGGCTACTGAGACCAGTTTTGTTTGGGTTATCGGTGACGGCTCTGTTTTCGCGGCAGCAGGGATATTCAGAGATCAAGTTTGATATCCCAATTCCAGCACAGCGAACGAATCGTCGGCTATTTGGGTCCAGCCCTAGTTAAAGTATATCATATCCTGATAAATGCCCCAAAGCTTAATTACAGTTGGATAAGTCCTTCTTTAATTTATCAGCTTGTTACATAATCATATATCCTAGTACTGAATTATCTTGGTAACCATGACAGATAAATATATCATGTTTAGATTCTTTGTGATCCCCTAAATCTGATGTATTTATTTGCAGCAGGTTTAGCTTTGTATAATTATAAGTACATATAGTTCTAAAGTAACATTGTTACTTTCAGAACAAAACTCGACCCTCGGTACGACCCCTCTGTGATACAGGGGCGTTGTATCTAGCAGCCCCTCTGGGAGGGGAGCTCTTTGTGATTGGTCAGTAGTTTTACTATTAAAAGACATTTCACCTGAAAGACCATGGATTTTCTACCGGGGATTTTCTACCAGTCACAGAATCTCCCACTTTGGTCTCTATTTGTTACCAACTTCAACTGCCACACTCTGATCCAACTGAAGCTGAAGGACACGTCTGCCCCCAACTCCAGACGTCGTTGTACCCGCCAAGGAAACTGCAAGTATCGAGCTTCTACCTCTAAACGGGTGTTTCATAATTACAATTGGCCTTCAAACAAATATTCCCAAATTTAACAGTTATGTGCTGCTTTGGGTGACAAGACTTTTAAGTCTCCAAGCCACCACTCTGTTCCACATTCGGTTTCTCACTCTCATATTCTCAATCAGCATTTTCATCATTGTTTGTATTTTATATTTTATGTTGTTGTTATTTGTTTGTTTGTTTTAGTTAGTAATAAATGTTGTGTGTGTGTATACAGTTGTTTCCTGTGTTTTCTATAGCTTATTTCATTTACATATCCGATCTGTATAGTTACCTGAGCTCGAAGTTAATTCCCTAACATTATAAAACACTCTTGACTGATCACCAAGAATAAACAATTTATTAGAATTATTGTGCTGACTCTGAGATTATATCGCTGGACAAATAATTCAAAGGTTGGTTTTAATAATTTCAATTAATGAAATCATTTGTTTCATGGTGGAAACACTTGTTATTAACAATAATAATAATTTCCTACCCTACAACTTTAAATGAAAAAAAAAGTAAAATCGCAAGATATGCTCCACCATTATCATCCGTGTTCACTTCCACAAACACTGAGCACGCTCGCTGCGTGTGACGTCACTGTGTCCTCTTCTGCACATGCTGGACACTTTTGCGTCATGTGAAGTACACACAGCAGATCACAAGTCACATTTAATTGGAAATGTGAACGGAATCGGATTTCACAAAAAAAATCAGAATTGAGCATTAAGTCCTGCAGTCTGAACGTAGCCAATCTGTGGGCTTGTTCAGTCAGATAATACTCTGTTATCCTTATTTGTGACATAAAATGTCATGTCGGAGTTGGAATCCCAGGCTGTTGGTATGTTAAGGCTGTTTATTATGGGTTCCGTTTGTTTTTAAAAAAAAACCTGTCGGATAGCAAGGTTGTCAGATTGTTAAGGGCTGGATTATCAAGTCACGACTGTATATATAATAAAGTAAAAACAATAATAGTAATATTGTAAAAATCAGGAATATCCTGTTCACCGATCCCCCTGATGTATGGTATGGTCACCATGTCCATGTTATGATTGATTTTTGGGATCATCTGATATTTTCTTCCAATCACAATTGACTGAAGTGAAGAACTCAGAGGGAGAAACAATAAACAGTGATGTACTTGATGAGAGTTTGATCACGACTGCTGATCATGCTTTGGATGTTTATAAATCAAGGTAGAAACACAGAAACATAACATGGACATGGTGACCATACCATACATCAGGGGGATCAGTGAGCGCATACAGAGGACATTGAAAAAACACAAAATCAGTGTAATAGTAAAACCACACTCAAAACTTCGTCAGCTTCTAGTACACCCAAAAGACGAAATACACACGGACCAAAAATGCAACGTCATATATGAAATCCCATGCCAAAGATGTGGAAAAACATACATAGGAGAGGCAGGGAGAAGCTTCCACACAAGAAAAAACAAACATAAAAAAGAATGCGAAAAGGAAACATCAGGACGACTCACAAGATCACAAAAAGAAAAAGCAGAACAGGCGAACCTAAAATCAGCCATATCAGACCACTGCAAAAGAAACAACCACATCATAGACTGAGACAAAAACAAAAATCATCCCATCGGAGGGCAACAAATTTAAACACTGGATCAAGGAGGCCATAGAAGTCAAGAGGCGAGCCAAAGACACCATGAACCGTGATGAGGGGGCATTCATGCTGTCCCACACATGGGACACTCTCCTGCAGAGACCACTGGGCGGCAGGAGGCGTGGCCCGTCAGGCAAATCTGACAGATTGCCAGGCGGGTCACACCTCCAGCAAACCACTCGCTGATAAAGACACGTCACCACAGACGTCAGTAACTTTTCTGAGGAAGACTGAAGTGACAGTCAAAACATGTCAAAGGTGAAAACAGCTGCTATCTAAAAAAATACTCATTGTCTGACAAAAAAAGAAACCTCAGAGTCGACAAAATGAACCTAATCATGCTCAAGACCATATTTAGTGCCGTATTAGCTTCACTTTATTGCCTCCCTGTAAAATCCAGGATAGAATTTAAAATCCTACTTCTCACACATAAAACTCTTAATGACCAGCTCCATTTTACCTTAAAAACCGTATTGTTTCATATCATCCTAACAGAGCCCTTCGCTCTCAGACTGCAGGTCTACTTGTGGTTCCCAGAGGTCCCAGAAGTAGAATGGGAGGCAGAGCCTTCAGTTATCAGCTCCTCTGTTGTGGAATCAGCTCCCAGTTTGGGTCTGTGAGGCAGACACCCTCTCTACTTTTAAGGTTAGGTTTAAAACTTTCCTCTTTGATAAAGCTTATAGTTAGAACTGCTCAGGATCACCTGAACTGTCCCTTAGTTATGCTGCTGTAGCTTTAGACTGCCGGGGGATTCTAATGATGTACTGAGCTCCTCTCCTCTCCTCTCCTCTCCTCTCCTCTCCTCTCCTCTCCTCTCTCTTCCTTCCATACAGTTTTAACCACCATTACATATCCCTAACTCTCTCTTACCCTTGAGGTCCTGTGTTGGTTCTCTCTGCGAACATCTCTGGATCCGGAGCTTCACATCTCTGATTTGTAGCCGCTGGCCTCACCAAGCCCCAAAATATTTATATTTATTGTTCTGTTCTATTGCTTGCTCTCCATCTGCTGTCTTGCTGTCCCCACCCCCTCATTCCCACTCTCAACCAACCGGTCGAGGCAGATGGTCGCCTTTCCTGAGCCTGGTTCTGTCGGGTTAAAATATAACCCGTTCAAATAAAGCTTCCCTCCATTTTCTGGATTACCGAATGGAAACTATCCACCCCATATCAAGTGACAGTTATACAATGAATTTCAAAGATATGTTACTTAGAAATGTATCTGTGACACAAGCAAACAGAATCTGGGGGAAAATTCATTAGCGTCACAGCGTAATTAAAAATGCAGTTTAGTTGTACAGAAACGTAGGTCTGCCTACAAGGATGTAGTATGTTCATAATGACCTGTGTTTCATCATCAACCACTGGTCCATGGTTGGGGATCTGATCCCTTAAGTAGAGTTAGTCAAAACTGCAAGAGGCTGCAGGAGACTACTAAATGTAGGTATAACTTGCACCCTTTCTTGATGTTGGCAATAAAGGCATTTCGTGTATGTAACTGCCTGTTAATATTGGGGTTGGCCATAAAATGATGTGGTAATTAAATCTGCTAGACATGCTATTATATCACTAAATGTTGATTTGCCACTGAAAAGCACATGCATGCATCTTCCCCTGTTTGACTGATATTTGTTAATATTTGAATCATTTAGTTAGGACATTGCTGGACCTTTTATTGTTAAGTTGTATATTTGTAAGCTCCTTTTCAAGACCTGTAACCTCACAAGAATCAATGGCAATGGAATGTACTGAGAGAAGGGCAAACACATGCTAAATGATTGACAAATGTAATAAAACCAGGAATAAAAGGTCTCTAAGAATGTACTGTATTAGCCAAGACTGACAGACAAAACAAACAAATGCAAACGTGCATTTATTTATGGCAAAAATACTGTGTTGAGTTTTACTTCTCTCTTTACTGTTTCAGCATGAGGATGCCCTTTGCATTAACCAGTTTCATTAAAAAAATAAGTCCTGACTCTGACTCCATCCAGCACCACTGAAATGAACTGGGATCAAATTTCTACATATTTTTTACCACTAATTTCATAAAGATGTATATCTCACATATGCATATATTGTACAGTATTTAGATATCAACTGGTATCAATTACACAACCTGGAGTATGTTACATTTCAATAAAATAATGCTAAAGGTGTGGCTGAGATAACTTTGAGCCTGCTCTTGTTAAACTGCATTTGGGTGACACATCATACACATACAAACAGCTGCACATCTTTGTATTAGCTTGACTGTGCACCCTAATTACCTTATTTGATATAAGGGAGTTGGGTAAATCACTAAGACAGGATATAATGGCCCGTAATTGATAAGAGACTTGAAATGTCAGCCTGATGCACACACAAAACTGATAGATTATAGCACTTTATTGGCTGTCTCGAGGGGCCAAACAGGTCTTTGAATTACTGCCGCTGAGTCATTACCTGGAACCAATCAATTCTCTCTGTTTACATTTGAAGTGCTCAGCCATTTCTCCCTCGTCTGATTATAATTGTCACAATCTAAGCCACTGCAAATCGCAAGCCTGGGGACTCTTTTTGCAATGCAAAACAGCTATGGCATAGCATATGTGCATATGTACACACTTAAAA